TACGTCAATACAATATTTTGCTATATACACAATACGAAGACACAATTAAGTCATTAGGTACTATAATAAAAATAAAATTTATAATAGAATATCAGAATAATACTTTTTTTACAATAAATCAATGTGTCATAATGTAATAATATACACAAAATATCAAGTCACTATTAATAATAGTAATTTCACAATAATTTCACAGTCATTTTCACGGGAAAAAACCATGTCCGCTCGTGCCTACATAAATGGGGGTCTGCAAATATGTAAGAATTTTTAGTTTTCTTTTTTTTCGGAGAGATTCTGGAGGGGTGACACCCCTGGGGTGGTCCAGTACTACTAGCCCATAGCCACGGGCCCATATAGCCACTGCCCACTGATCGTTATTGTTGTGCACTTATGTTTATTGTCTTGCTGATATAGCCTTATTAATGTTCTACTTTGTTAATTGTTATAATAATTATCATAAACATTATTACTTGTTTTCTGTTGTTGCCATCCGAATATATAAATAAAATCATAGTTTCGTGGGCTGGACGTCATGGATTCTACAACAGTTTTTCCTGTTAAGAGCCATTCGCTTATATTTATTTTCTGTGCAGTTGCCGGTTATAGTAATCAAGTACACAAATTAGAAATTCGCTTGACTAAACCGGTTTAAAATTATCACACATTATCCCGCATTGGGATAATTAACCATGTAAATGATATGGTCATGGGCGTAGGATGAGGGGGGACTAGGGGCCGACTATAGTCCCCCCAATTAGTGGTTCAGTCTTCAGTCCCCCTACGTTAGGTTAGTTTTCGTTTATCTAATTCTAATAGTCTATGCTTTTAAAATAACGTAAAATTAAAAATAGTATATTGAACAAATTGTAGTACAAATTGAACGAGACTTAACTTCAGAAATAAAAACTGAAGATATTCAGTAGGTACAAATAAACGTAGAATTGACTTACATTTATCATAAGAGTAGGTACATTAAAATAAAATGTTTTTTATTTGAAAGCTTTGTAAATTATATTAATCCTACGTTTATTTATATTAAGAATATTAATAAATAATGTAATAATAAAATAAAACTTTCAAAATTGTTTTGTTTTTTTTTTTAATGTAGGGACTCACTTCAGAGTCATAATTCAATAAACATGCATTGCATATTTATTGATTGACTATGTACATTTTAACTTTTTATACAAGTATATAACTGTAATGACTATTGATGTTGTAATTCAATACATTCAATTTTAGCATAGTTTAATAAAAAATAGTCAAGGACTTAAGTCCCTCTTGTTAATTAGGGTAGCTACGCCCATGAATATAGTCCAAAAATCTCGGTGCATTATTTTTCACACCGGTTTAGTCTAGCGAATTTCCATAAAGTCTTAAATACAATTATAAAACGCAATTGTAGTATCGGTTTCCGTAGTGTAGTGGTTATCACGTGTGCTTCACACGCACAAGGTCCCCGGTTCGATCCCGGGCGGAAACATTCTAAATTTTTTGCTATTAAATAAAATATAGTCTTTTTCACTTAATATTTTATTTATTTATAATTTGAGATACTATTATAAAAAATATAGAATTCGATATTTTTCCTTTACTAGGAAAATCTATGATTCACAAAATATGTTTTTGTTCATCAAATTATGTATTGCACACCAAAAATCGGTCAGAAACATTACAATATCTAGCCGAAAAACATATTTATCTTAAGTTTTTTAATCCTCCTTATGTAAATTGTTATAATACCTAGGTCCTAGGGCTAGATTAGACCCGGGTTTATTTATCGATATTCTAATATTCTATATGTATACCGTTACCGTATACGTCAGACAATAAAAAAAAGTTATACTTTATGTAAAAAATTGAATCTAAATGATATTTTAAAGAGTATAGTTTAGCCGTTCGCTTAAAAGTAAAAAAGGTGCTCGTTCTGGTGCAGCTGTTGAGCTGTCGTTATAGGAAGTGTATACAATATATTTAAAAGAAAATTTATATTTATATAAACTCTTGTTGGCTGTTGTAGAGCTGTCTTAAAATTCAAATAATTGAAGTGAACTTCTTTACGGAGGGTATTCACAAAAATGAAAAAATGTATGAAACGCTGGGAGCATATTTTTTGTAGTCAAGAAACCATATTAATTAGGGTTCCCTCATCCCTGTATTTAAGTTTTTAACTATACTGGTACAACTCTAGCCGACCGGCTTTAAAACTCGTGTTAGAGAGTGAAACCGAAAATAACATTTTAGAAAATGGTTGTCACAAACATGTTTCAAGAAAAAAATGTTTGTCTAGAAAATATAAAGTAATACAATTAATGTCATTGAAATTATTGAGTGAAATAATATTAAATATTAAACATAAATTATCAGACAAGTATTACATTCGAAAATATATTAAAAATTAAAATCAAAGTATTCAATCGGAAAAGTTGTTTCATGTTTGTATAAACTTTAATTAATTTGACAATATACTTAATTACTGAAACAAATTTTAGAATAAATGGGTATCCCTAACCGTCTAATCGTTTGCTCAACCCATACTGTAACCGTTTAACGAGCTCTTGTCATGGGGTCCTATATATATGATCGTGTCCTTTGGAGTGGGTGGTCGTAGTAGTGGCTAAATTCGGTCATGAGGAAGAGTTCGGGTCTCGTACTTTGTATTCTGGTCGACCGCATCCTTCCGTACGAATAATGAATATTGAAACTTTCCCGAGGAGAGACGAGTGACAACACTTTTATAGTTTAATTGTTTAATACTGTGTTCACTACTCTCTTGCAATGACCCAGCATGTTATATGTAGGTAATACTAATTGCCTTATTAATTATATCACAGAATAGATTAAATCAGAATGGACAGGGTCTGTCTATACGCAGTCGATTAGACCACCACCGCCGTTATCATTTTGTTGTTATAAAAAAAAAATGTTATCTTAAATATTATATTCTCACTCATATCCATCGAGGTATATAAACTATACTGGAGCGCGCACTGCGTATACCGTCCGTGTAATGAAAAACGAGCCGACGCGTTCGATCGTTTCCCCCACCACTGCAGGGCAACTTTAATGCCATGTACCGTATAATAGTGCGACGTACCTACTACCTTTACGTGTATAATACATTATTTTTTTCAAAAATTATTAAATTAGGAATCAATAGGTCAAAATGATTGGTTTCCGAATTCCTCGTCTTCATACGCGCAATCTAGATTTATTTGTTATTCCACATTATAGAACTAATAGTGGAGCCTTCTCTTTTCTACCAAGAGCTCTTAGGTTAGCCAATTTAATCTCCCACCATCTTGATTTTTTTAATTCTACTCGTGTAAATTTTAAACTAAATACTGTATTGCTTCTAAAAAAACCACATTTTATCTAATTATTATTATTACTTAATATTGTTACTTGTCGTATACATTTATTCTTAGTCATTTATTTTTAATTTTAAAACATTATTTAAATTTTTGTATTTTTATTACCTACTTAATTTATATGTATTTTGATTGTTGTCATATTGTTATATTATATACTTTGTAAAGGGCTATTGCCCGTTGAATATATTCAATAAATAAATAAATAAAAATAATTTAATATCATTTAATTTTTTTAATAGCAAAACATTAAAAGTATTAGCCCTTAGTATAGTATACTCTAATATATATTTGAGAAATACAATACTTATCATTACTACACATACAATATAAAATTAAAAATACTAATGAATATATTTATTATTTCCTTTAAAATTATTAATAACATATAATTTAACATTAATTTACATAATATCATACTAAAATAAATTACATTCAAATTATAAATAAAAGTATAAAAACAAATCAAATACCTACACTCAATGAGTAGTTTTAACAGTTTAAATATTGTTAAATAAAATTAATTTTGTTAATTTCTGCCTTAATGATGATTTATTTTTAAATACTTGTTTAGAGTTTATTTCTTTGGCATAATGACGCATTCTTATATTAACAAAACATTGACTTAGTGCAGTAAAGAGGCTATACTCATGACTTGGGGAACCAATATCAACAGTAATAGGATGTGAATTTGGGAAAAAAAATAGAGTACTTTTGTTCAATATATTTTTTTTTGCTAACATTACAATGTTTTGTTTCACATTGTTATGTAATTTTTTATTTATAACAACAACGGCTTGAAAAGAGTTTTCAAGCTCTTGAATAATATAAGTGATACGCACCTGATGAAACTATTTTCAATTTCCCCCGATTTACAAAAGATGTAAAATTTGCATCTTTTACATAGCTATGATCTGTTAGATCACTTTTTACTAATATATCAATACAGTAAGGACACACAACTTTTTTGCTAATATTTTTTACAATATATCCAGCAATATAATCAAGTATTTCATTAGTATATTCAATTAACTGTATTACGATTATTAACGAAATAACCATTTTTGTTCATATAATATATTAGAATGTTTTTGACGAATTTTAATTTTAATAGAAAAATAAGTTTAAAGACAAAAAAACAGTACAAACAATTAACCAAAAGTTCAATCTGTTCGATAGAGTAATATACGACATGGCCTCTCTATATTATATTCTTACTCTATGGTTCAGAGCCATGAGAACATTACGTAGTGGCTGGCGTGTGGTAATCTTTTGCCCTGCAGTGGTGGGGGAATCGTTCGAACGCGTCGGCTCGTTTTTTGATAACGAGTGCGCGCTCCAGTATAGTTTATATACCTCGATGCTCATATCAAATATTATTATTGTATATTATTTATAAATTAAATCCAAGTCTTTTGCTGGAAGTCATGTTACAATGATACAAATGATTTAAATAAACAATACAAAATAATTAATTAAAACATGAATAGGTGGTTAATTTATGGATTATAAAATAAAAAATTAATTTAAATATATAGTGTAATAAAAATTGTGTTTTGATAAAATTGATAGTCAATTGTACTTAGTAAAAAAAAATACAAATAATAATAATAATAATAACAATCATGTTCATGCAAGTTTCTTTTTTTTGTGTGATTTTGGTATATCTAATAACTGTGTAGACGAACGCTTTGAAGGTAATAATACTAAACCATTGTCTTTATTTGTCATAGAATTCATATTTGAATGAATACTATTTAAAATTTTAAGTTGTTCAGACAATTCTTTCGAATGGTCATTTGAATTAATTATATATGTTAAATCTAACATTTTTTTTAGAGTTTCTCGAAATTGTTCTGGAAGATTTTGTTGCTTTTCAGTGTCTGGAATTGGATTATGTTGATCACTTATACTGTTGTCTATGTCTATAATATTTAATTGTGAAGCATTTTCCTTTTTCAATACATCAATAGGTGATTTTGTTAATATGTTTTTACAGTGTATATTTTTTATAGAATAATAAGGATCAGCTGATATGAATGAATTATTTTTAAATTTTTCAGGTAAATCATCAAATGAATAACCTGGAATGTAAAGGAAAATTGCACATATATGTTTACATGGCCAATGGAATTTAATGTAATCAATACATGTACAATTTGGTATTAGGAAATTAACTGTGTAAACACAAGTTCCATATATTCCACTTATATAGGTACAAATAACAATAAAGTGGAATAACCCATTCATATCAAATAATCTTCAATATATTTTTTTTTTCCTAATAATATAATAATATGTATATCATTTTAAATTGTTTTTGAGATATTGTATTTGATGTGATTATATTTTGATATTGTAAGGAACTTTATTGTATTTTATGAACACAACTTATCCACATACAAGCAATGGGTGCTTTTAGAATGAGTTTGCAACTGTTCTGATTACTTATGTAAAATTGTAAATTCTTGTGGTTGCAATAAATATTATTATTAAATAATAAAAATGTTTTTATTCAATAAATGAATATTTTATAATATTATTATTATTATTATTATTATTATTATTATTATTTGTATTTTTTTTTACTAAGTACAATTGACTATCAATTTTATCAAAACACAATTTCAATCATTGTAACATGACTTCCAGCAAAAGACTTGGATTTAATTTATAAATAATATACAATAATAATATTTGATATGAGTGAGAATATAATATTTAAGATAACATTTTTTTTTGATAACAACAAAATGATAACGGCGGTGGTGGTCTAATCGACTGCGTATAGACAGACCCGAATGGACACCTCGGCCGCCCGAAAAACTTTCCGCCATATTGTATGCAAGCACCAGGCTGACCACAAATTCAATATTAATGTTTTCTAAAATTTATGTTGCTTATGGCGACACTGTTGTAAGGATGTTTACAATTTTTATTTCAATCTCCATGACTACTAACCAAACAATTTAGTATTTACAATTTACAATTTACATTTTACATTTTACCGCCGTTGTTACTTGTGACTTGTCTATGGTTATTGTGGTGTCGAATTGCGGAAATCAAGCTTTACTGTGTTTTTTGAATTTTGCACAATGGAGTTTTTGGTTAATAAACGGTCCAAACAGTATTCAAAATGTTGCTTGACCAATTGTAGAAGCCACATTTTGAATAAGGATGAACTAAGTTTTTTTACTTTCCCAAAAGACCCTGCTAGGTAAGTAATATCTTTGTTAATAACATATTATTTCTACTTACATTTTATGACCGGTTTTGAATAGCCAAAGTCAATAGTTCATTATTACAGTTTCATAAATTTGATTTTAAGCTGGCTGTTAAAATAATAAATTACACATTTTAAGTACTTAATATGTGAACATTAATTATAGTCTATAAACAATGCATATTACATATATTTCCCTAGGTCTTATTGCAATTGACTAAACTGTTATCACTTATACCATTTAAAAAGTCTTATTCGCTGTGAAAATGTATTAATTATATTTACAAAAATATTTTAGATGTGCTGTTTGGATTGAAAATTGCAAATGTGATCAACTAAAGTCAACCAATAATTTACCTGCTAACACTAAGTATCGTATTTGTTCTTTACATTTTGAAACTGATATGTTTTCTAATTTTCAGAAAAATAGACTAAAGCCGGAAGCTGTACCTACATTGTTTGATGCCATGAAAATTGAGTATGTGGATGAATCAAAGAATTATGATAACCCTGAATGTAGCACTTCAGATTTTGTGCCATTATCATATTCACCACCTGGTATGTCTAATAAAATATATTATTGTAAACACAGTAAATTCTCACTTGTCCTTGGTCGCTGAAAGAACTTATTCCGTGGATAATAATTGTACTCTAGTTTTTCTTAAAGTATTAATTAATTGTAAAATTTAATATTTGTTGAATTAATTTTTTAGTTATATTTTGTATACATGTTAGGGATGATTAACTTGTATAGAATTGTATGTTTTAATTTTTCCAGGTTCTTCTACTCGTTCATCGATAAACTCACCATGTTTATCTAATGCATCAACATCAACGGATATTGAAACTAGTGTTATTGGTATACAGACACCAAGTTATTTATCATCTAAAACTCCCCGAAAAGTTGCTCTTCAGGAAAAACTCAAGGAAAGTGAACGGGTTCAGGCCGAGTTGAAACAAATTATTATAAATTTGAATCGACAAATAGCAAATGAATCTAACAATACATTGGATACTTGCCTAGAAACATGTAAAAAATACTTGTCACCTACCCTCTTTATGATTGTCAAATCTCAAATCAGGAATAAGGAAAGAAATTTTCGAGGATTCAGGTATTCTAATGAAATTAAGCAACTTGCTTTAAGTATTTATTTTCTAGGTCCAAGAGTTTACAATTTATTGCACAATCCTCTATCCCTTCCTACTAGTCGAACACTCAGGAGAGTAACTTCAAAATACGAAATAGATCCTGGTCTAAATGATTTCCTTTTTAATTTTGTATCATTTAAAATAAGTAGTTTTAAGCCTGAGGCGCTAGATTGCGTACTTTGTGCCGATGAAATGGCTTTAAAAACAAATTTATTTTATAATGTCTCTAAAGACAAAATTATAGGTTTTCATGAATCAAATTCTCGTAGAAAGTATGAACCGGCCAAATATGCTTTAGTCCTTATGCTTAGAGGAATAAATGAAAATTGGAAACAACCAATTGCTTATTTTCATGTTTCAAGTAGCTGTACCGGTACTGATCTGAAAGACATAATTATGTCAACAATTTGTCGCCTCCAAAATATCAAACTTAATATCAAAGCTTTTATTACAGATCAGGGCACAAATTTTGTAAGTTTTTCAAAAAGCTTTTATGTTTCTCCTAACAAGCCATATTTTGAAGTAGATGGCAAACAAATTTTTTACATTTTTAACCCACCACATCTTTTGAAATCGACTCGGAACATGTTTTTTAAACACAACTTTTTAATTAATGATTCAATTGTAACTAAAGCACATATTGATTCTTTTTACAATTATGACTCTGAAAATAATCTTCGCTTGGCTCCAAAACTAAAACATGCACACATTCATCCAGGACCATTTGAAAAAATGAGAGTTTATTTAGCTGCCCAAATTTTTAGTAATAGTGTTGCTTCTGGTATGTCTACGACTTTGACGTCTGGTATTTTGCCTCCTAGCGCCCAATACACTATTGATTTCATCAGTGATATGGACAAATTATTTGACATATTCAATTCTTATAAAGCACCTAATCTTAAAGAATTCAATAGACCATTTAAAAATACTGAATCACAAATTAATCATTTAAACAAAATGGCTGAAGTTTTTAGGAACATGAAAGTTGTTAATAAATTAAATGGATCAAATATTACCAACAGGATGAATTTTATTAATGGTTGGTTGATTACAATATCTTCATTAAAAATGTTGTGGTACTCCTTAAATCCAACTAAAAATCCAAATTATGTTCTTTATACTAGGTGCCTAAATCAAGATTGTTTAGAAAATTTATTTTGTTATTTCCGCCAACAGCATGGAAACAATTTAAATCCTACACCAATTGAGTTTTCTAGGTCATTTAAAAAAATTTTTTGTGCTAATTATTTTAAACATTCTCCAGGTGCAAATTGCATTGAAGATTTAGATGAAATTTTAGGTTCAGAGCTACCACAATGTGAAAAGATTCTTAATTTTGAAGGATCAGACAAAAATCTTTTTAAATTTAAATGTATTAATATTGGTATAGTTGATTACAGACAACTTGACATTCCAGAACAGAATGCATTAACTTATATTTGTGGTTATTTAATGAGAAAATGCTTAGAAAAACATATTTGTCAGGTTTGTACGGATTATGCGTACTATCAAAAAGAGTTAAACCAGTCGTTTCTTTTGAGTTTCTACAAAGCATACCCTACTGGAGACCACTCAACATTTGGAAATCTGATGATGCCTCATGATGACTTTTATAATTTTGTATCTGAATTAGAAAATATTTTTATTGACAACTTCCCTTCCGTTTCCTATAAAGATGGTGTAGGCGCAGAATTAAAGCAACAAATGAATAATGTACCTTTTAATCATCCATGTGAATCTTTTAATAAAGTGTTTTTGATTAATTTATTTACACGCTTTAGAATTTTTTCAGCAATCAAATTTTTAAACAGAGCTTTGGTTTCTGAAAAAAAACTAAAAGATAGAAAATTGACCATTCTGAAACATTTGTAATCACACACACACATTATTTTAGATGATTTTTTATATTCCAACAAAACATTTAATTATACCAAGTGATCCATCAATTGTATCAATACTCATTATTTGAAAAAGTTTTAACTTTTATAAAAATGAACCTTGTATAATTTGTTGTAATTTTATAATATTTCCGAATAAAAATATTTTTTTTAAGTACCTACTATTTTTGTTATAATTTTTAAACATTTTACTTTTTGATCATGCATTTTTTGATTCAAATTCATTATTCGTATTTCTTTGTTTTGAAATCAAAATTCTGCCAAGTAAAGTATTTACAGTTTATATGAGCGGAATAGTGAAAAGACTTAAAGGGTACCCCTGTACCACTCTATTTTGCTCATCTAAACTGTAAATACTTATAACTACTTGGCAGAAAATTAATTTCAAAAAATTGAATACCCAGAGAATATGGATTTAAAATTATATGGTCTCATTCAAAAAAGTAAAAAGTTTAAAAATGATAACTATAAAATAGTATCAAAATTGAATGTTCATGTATTTAAATACTACTAAAAATGTTATGTTTCACAATATGATATTAAAAATGTATGTTGACTTGTAAAATGTATTTTAGGAACTTTTAAAGAACTTTCCGTAATAATGATTATGGACACTATAATATTGTATAATTCTGTTTTTACAGTGGTTTTTTAATTATTTTATAATTTTTATGATAATCTAGTTTTAAGTGAGTTATGAGCATTTTTGATTGACGTTATATTATATCCGTCCTTTTAAAAACCAATTAAAAAAAATGTATACTGGGTGATTCTTTTATCAAACAACACTCATTATTTCAAAAAGTGTAAATTTTTTTGAAGATATTTTTTTACATAGTTTCAAGTCGCTTATAAAACAACGTTTTTATTAAAAAATTATTTTTTTAACTATTTTTTATCCTTATAATTTTTTAAGTTTTTTACTTTTTTGAATGACAACATAGGGTTTTAATTTTATATTCTAAAGTAGAATATTTTTATTAGTATTTTGATACATGAAAATTGAATTTGGGGCGAGTAGTTTATGAGTTATAAGTATTTAAAGTTTAGACGAGCGGAGTGGAGTGGTTCGGGGTTACCCCGCGAAATGTTTGTCCACTTCACCGCTCGTCTAAACTTTAAATGCTTATAACTCATAAACTACTCGCCCCAAATTCAATTTTCATGTATCAAAATACTAATAAAAATATTCTACTTTAGAATATAAAATTAAAACCCTATGTTGTCATTCAAAAAAGTAAAAAACTTAAAAAATTATAAGGATAAAAAATAATTAAAAATATAATTTTTTAATAAAAACGTTGTTTTATAAGCAACTTGAAACTATGTAAAAAAATATCTTCAAAATAATTTACACTTTTTGAAATAATGAGTGTTGTTTGATAAAAGAATCACCCGGTATATAATTTGTATTGTTTATTTATTTATTTTAATTTCAACTGTTGATCTGTATGAATGATACAATTCAACAATTTGTTATGTATAAATGACTTAAATACATATGAAAAATATTTTCAAAGATGTTGGTAAGTTAATAAGTATTTAGATGTGGAGAACAAAAACAAAAATTGTATTTTTAAAATATTTAACTTTCTTTATTGTGTCCAATTTTTAAATAAAAATGTAACTATTATTATTAGATTACTTGGTTACTCTTTGTATTCATTGTTAATAAAAAAAAATTATTATTACACAATGATGAATTATGTTTTATTTGTATCCCAAAAGTGTCACCTATATTCTTTAATTATATAAAAAAAACATGAGTTAAGTATATATTTTTTGAATTCATTTAGTTTTTTATAGTTGTGTAATTGTGTTCTATTTGTTTTACACCAATATTGTACAGTAATAAAATAAAATATATTCCAAAAAAAATCAGTTTTTTACCACATATTAACTATTGATTTTATTTTGAATGTTACATATTTATGTGTGGTATATTTTAATATCTTGTTGGATATTTATGAGTTAATCTAAATCTCAATAAAGTTACCAAATATGGTATTTAAAAAGAAAAGAAGAATATAATCTGTTGAAAATAAATACAAATATCTTGATATTTGAATCATATATTCTTGAATAGACCAGTCTTGGTTCTCTAACAGGTCCAGATTTTTAGAATAAAACACATAATGGAACTGTATAATTTTATGATACTCCAAAGGTAAATGTCTTTCTATTCAGCCAGTTTTAAAATATAATAACATAAATAACAGTATTCCTAATTGCAAATATAAATAAATAAATAAAATATTTAACTGATCTATTGTATTGTAAGAGGTAAATTTAAGATTTATTTTCTGGGCAACACTGATGCTTGCATTCAATATGGTGGACCTTCTTATCAGTTTTCCATAAGAATAATGTATTTTTTTGAGAAGTGACCATTCTGATTTAATCTATTCTGTGGTAAAAGACTCCGAACTCCAAAAATCGCTATTTCCTTTTTTGAAATTAGGAAAAGTGCTTATTATAAGTTTCATTTACGTTTATTTTTAATGTAATTTTTTGGGAAGTGACCATTCTGATTTAATCTATTCTGTGATTATATCGTCAAATACTACTAGAAACTTGCGCTACTCGCCTACGCTATACATAGATAATAGGTATAAGTAACACATACGACAAACAATTTACCAATTTACGATTTAATTAATTTTTAATTTTAAGAAACTTAGAATATTGCAAGGATTGCTGTGGTTTCCCCAATATAAAACTATATCTATATTTATTATCCCGAGTAGGAAGGTACAATATGTTGTCTATTGTCTCCACCAGAGCTCGTTTTGTTGATTTGTCTTCCCAATTTCAAATTTGCGCCATTATGATAACTGATAAGTGATAACAACTTAGAGGTTAGTTTTTACAAACGTCGGTCATTCTTTAACGGCTACTTGCTTTTTACACGGTAAATTTAGTATTTTACTGTCTACAGATTCACGACTGCAGATAAATATTTACTTATTTAGTATTAATTTTACATAATTTAATAATAAATATTCACAATGTAAATTTCAAAAGTTTACATTGACGAGATTTTCCCGTAAAATTCGGGTTTAATTTGTAATTGTTTATTTTAACAATTATCTATTTATTTGGTTCTCGTTATGAACTTTTAAACATTATAAACACATCAAACATCGGTACAATGTTTCCAACGAAATTATTGACAATTGTCTTACTTGGCATTTTATGTCTTAATAACACTTTTGGATCTAAACTCAACGTTCCCCGTGTATTGTTACCGGTATTTGACACGTTTACTGTGAAATTTAATATAGAAGTTACAGACGATGGCTGTTACAAATGGTAAGTGTTAAGAAATTGCTTATGAATTTTATGTTGCACATTACCTATACTTATGTTCAGAATCCTTGTCCTAATAATGTAATATTATATTGCTTAGGGAAGCACTTAGGTATCATTTTACATGGTCACATAATTAAAATGAGTACACATCAGTCGTACAAAAATGATTTACAAGTAAAGTCGATAATTAAATTATTACCCTTTAGCTATTTTATTCTAGTGTTATTTTTATATAGTAAAATACCTACCTTGGAATAATTCTTTATAATAAATCGTAATAAATGTTTTACATTCATCATCAACATACCACATCTTCCTCTGATTATTAACAAATAATAAACGTTTTATGTGAGCAATATCAGGCTTACATTTTTTAAGTATTTTACAGCCTCCCCACCCCCACCCAGGGCAAGTTTCTTTCTTTTACCCCCGTAATTACGCCACTAGGCCTGTCCATTATCTTCTTGAAGAATAAATAAAAATAAAAATAACTCTTGTACGTTTACTAATATCAGTGATTTTCTAGGTCAATATTCAGAGGTGACAACATTATCAAACTCGTTCCCTTAGATGTGAATCCATCGCTTGGATGTTCGAGCAAAGTTTCTGTGTCTTCATTATCAAATGAGAAAGTCCGCAGAATAGCAATCATATTTGCAGAAGACGCTAATTCTGGTGAAACAATACGTTGTGATGTCATTGTTGATACTATAAAGTCTTTACAGATTGTTACAAAGACAAGAGAGTTGTTTGTTGGAGATGCGCCGGAACTTTTTGAAGTATCTGCGTTTGATGATCAAGGTACTTGTAATCTAAGATCACTATAATTTGCAAAGTTAAGCATTTAAGATACTGTTATTTGTACTCTTGAAAAGCTGCATAGTAATACTTTTAGTACAAACTAAATAAAAATTAATTATTAACTATTTTCAAGGATATTTATCATTTTGTAATATTTTATTTTAGCTGATGGTCAAAATAACCATACCCTTGATCGTACCTATCTATAGTACTTGTTAAAATTACAACTTTGTCATAGATACAATTATTTCTCCCATATTATTGGTACAACCACTAAAATTTATTTGAAGTAAGAAACAGTATCTTTACAATACATTTTCATATTGAAGTGTTTATTGCAAATTTTATCTAAATTTATCGTTGTAAATCTTACATTAAACAAATAATTTATTATTTACCAATTTAAAATATTTAAAACTAAGATAGGTAAGATTAATGTAAAAGATGAGTGCTGAATACTACGATAACTGGCCAACGTGTAATTTATTTATCAGTCATGTGTTTCCTTTATTTTAGGAAATAAATTTACAACATTGGATGGTGTAGAATTTAATTGGTCTTTAAAAGTGCTTAGAAGTCCTATAAACACAGTTTTAAAATTCATATCATTTAAAGATTCTTCATATAGAACTCCACCAGATCTTTATGATCTTGATCAGAAAAATAGGCAAGGTCATATGGTTCTTGTTGAAGGAGTTAAAACTGGATCAGCATTAGTATGTCAATTACCTATGAATTTCAAACTATATTATATAGTATTACTTAAATTAGTTCAATTTTTAATTAACATTTATTTCAGGTTTCTGTAAAATTGTCTACATTTGATGAGCCCACCACACAAGTTGAACTATCAGTCATTGC